GCTTATTTATTAAATTGAAGATTACTGCGGCCCAAAATATCATTATTATTGTTTTTGGGTTTTCTATCATTGAAATTACTTTATTTCTGAAAATTATTTATATATATATGTATTCATGTTTTAAATTTATTTAAAATAAATCAAGAATAATATATATTTTATTTATATAATTTATATTGACTATTGTTATAAGTTTTTAACAGTGATATACTAGCTTTCCAATTCTTCATTAAAAAATTAACTTCAAAAATTTAACTAAATTATTTAGTGTATATAATTTTACACCAAATTTAACCCAAAAAAAAACTTTATAAATTATTACTAAAATGTTTACGGGTCACAACATTTTACCGACGCCCCTGTTACACAATACAGTGATGAAATACGATGTTTAAACAGTATACTATTACTTAGTAAAATTGGAAGCATTAAATTGTAATTTTTAAAATGTTTATATATACCATAGAAATAAATACCCGCCCAGTCGGGCGGGTTATGATCTAGTTTTCATTAAGAGTATAAACGATATTAACCATTTTTACTTTTAACGTGGGAGCTCCGTTGCAAAAAAAATCACTCTACATTTTTATTTTTCACAATAAAAAAGATTATTTTCAGATAATTGTATAATATTCTATAAGATATCTTATGTTTTAAATATGCATGAACGTGGATAATTATCCTTTAATTTATAATAAATTAACTAATTTAATAACATATAAATTTATATCACTAACATAAAATTTGGTTTTGACTAATTTATAGATAAATATATAAATTTCATAAAAGGTATCATTAACTTGAACATTTAATTATATAATTAAAAGTATCTTTATACAAATGTTTTTGTTTGATTAATATTTAATTAAAATCGATTTTATATTTTAATTATATTAAAATAGTATACTAGGCAAGGGCGTTCGGTGGCCCAATAGGTTTCGGTTCGGTCGATTCGGATTTTCGGTAATGTGCTCATAAGTACCATTCGATTTTTGCTAATAATCGGATCGGGTTCGGTTCGGTTCGGTTCCTTCCGGGTTCGGTTTGGATCGGATTATAACCAATGTCTGAAATCGTCCAAAAAAAATTTTTTAAACCTAAAAATTTGACAAAATAGTATTCAAAATATGTAAACTATTCACAAGTATAATTAAAAATTAGTTAAACTATCTAATTAACTAAGATATATCCAAAATAACATATAACATAGACTATGAAAATATTTAGAATATTATAAACTATCTAAACATATATAAAATATTAACATATTTAACTAATTTCAGATATCTTCAGATCCTACTTCGGATTTTGGTTCGGTTCGGGTTATACCCAAAGTCCGAAGTACTAGGCTCATAAGTCCCGTTCGGTTAATTTCGTATAATGGTTTGGATCCGGGTTCGGGTTTAGGTCGGTACTTCGTGTTGGGGTAAAAATACCCATGCCTATATATAACTAATTTTATAATTAAAAACGAAATTTAAAAAATAAAATTAGATAAATACAATATGTTATTATCTTAGATAATAAAGAATAATTAATATAATAAGTTTATAAAAAAAACAAAAACAAGATAATTCTTATATATGTTATTATTATCTCAATATAATACTGTAACAACATGATAATGTTTATAGATCTTAATTTTATATAAAATTGATTTTGGCTTTTAAAAATAATATCATTATATTAAAAGTTTAAAAATTAAAATATAAAATCGATTTTAATTAAATATTAATCAAACAAAAACATTTGTATAAAGATACTTTTAATTATATAATTAAATGTTCAAGTTAATGATACCTTTTATGAAATTTATATATTTATATATAAATTAGTTAAAACCAAATTTTATGTTAGTGATATAATTTTTTATGTTATTAAATTAGTTAATTTATTATAAATTAATAGGATAATTATCCACGTTCATGCATATTTAAAACATAAGATATCTTATAGAATATTATACAATTATCTGAAAATAATATTTTTTATTGTGAAAAATAAAAATCTAGAGTGATTTTTTTTGCAACGGAGCTCCCACGTTAAAAGTTAGAATGGTTAATATCGTTTATACCCTTAATGAAAATAATATATAAATTACATACAAAATAAAAACGAATTTAAATTATTTGATTAGATAAGTAACTAAAATTAATAATAATCATAAGAATTATCCAAAATCTTAATAGTATCTTTTTAAATAAGATAATTCCGATATATATTATGATGTTATATGAAAATATAAAAATAAATTTAATTTAATGTGTGAGTTCAAAGGCAAAAAATTACTTCACAAATATATAGCATTATGTCATATTATTATATTCTTTTAATTTGAATATAATTACGTATTATAATAGTATAGATATGTAGATGCTTATTTTTCTCTCGTATGTAACCGGCAAAACCTGCAAAAGAAAAATAATTTATATTAATAATTCTTAATCGTAAAAGTAACTCGTGGCCTTCTAACATTCATACGACCTCTGCTACTAACTTTATATTTGGTATATTTGTAGAAAGAGAATGCTTTCATTCTCAGATTATTTAGTATTTAGAAAACAAAAATAAAATAATCTCCATCGTCTTTCATCTCCATCTATCTCTCGCCTCGAGGAGCTCTCAACAGTGACTATAAAACCGTTCAATACCTTCAGTCCTTCCTTCGTCTTCAATGGAACAGCAATTAACTTTAGTGTTGTTGCCAAAAGACGCCTCCTCCTCTCGAACCTTCCTCAAATTCTTCCTCTACTTCTTCCTCGTCGCCATCGCTTACTATTTCTTCATCTCCCTTGATTCGCCGCCGCTATCTCCTTCCGGTGACGGTAATTTCTCCAATTGGGTTTTCAAGAATTAGGGTTAACGTTTCTAAATTTATCGAAAAGGATTCAACTTTATCATGTGTAACAACAGAGTATTGTAAATAGATTAGTATGCTAAACCGACCGGTTTAATATTCTGTTATTTGGTTTAATAGTTTGTTACACTCTCTCAGTCTCAGTATAAGAGGAGTTTTAAAGAATTAGGGTTTCTTTCACTTAAAGTTTCCAAATTTATCGAAAAGGTTTCAACTTTAGTGTTTATCATGTGTAAACAGAGTATTGTAAATAGATTAGTATGCTAAACCGACCGGTTTAGTATTCTGTTATGTGGTTTAATAGTTTGTTACACTCTCTCTGCTCAGTATAAGAGAAGTGATCCAATGTAAACCTTAACTTTTAATCAGAAATTAAGAGAATATTCATTGTTTATCATGTGTAACATAGTATGCTAAACCGACCGGTTTAATATTCTGTTACATAGTTTAATAGTTTGTTACACTCTCCCAGCTCAGTATAAGAGGAGTGATTTTTTTTTTCTTTTTTAATCAGAAAGTAAGAGAATATTAATCTTCTCTAGTAATGTGTTTGATCAAATGTCTGTGTGTGTGTGTGTGTGTGCAGCTTCATCGTCAAAGTGTGATCTTTTCACTGGGGAGTGGATACCTGACCCTTCGGGTCCTCTCTACACCAACCTCTCATGTCATCACATTCAAGATTTTCAGAACTGTATGTTGAATGGAAGGCCAGATGTGAACTATCTCTTCTGGAGATGGAAGCCTAGTGGCTGTGACCTCCCTAAGTTCAACCCATCTCAGTTTCTTGAGAGAGTGAGGAACAAATGGTGGGCTTTCATTGGTGATTCCATTGCTAGTAACCACGTCCAGTCTCTCATCTGCATTCTCTCTCAGGTACATAGTTAAAACGTTTCCTTAGGGTTCAATAAATTGCTAAACTGTAATTAGTCTCTTGGTACACGACTAGTCAGATTATTTGGGACCTATGCGGAGCCTAGGCTTTTGATTTATTTTATAGATACAGAAAATCTATAAATTAATACTCGATAAATTAATAAGAAACTCTATAAATTAATACTCGATAAATTAATAAATACGAAAATCCCAACTTTATTAATTTATAGAGTTTTTACAGTATATAAGATATTTTAGTTATTGAGCTTAATTATCAATATTTTGTTGAAGTATAAAAACGAAAAGGATAGACAAATGTGTGGATTTATACCAATTTTGTTGCCTAATTTTAAAAAAAAAATATTTGGACCAATTTTGAATTAATTTTAATCGATTTAGAAGGGTTAGCTAATAGCTATATGTTTCCTTAGACTGCAAGAAACTGATCAGTTCATGGTTTATTGGTTCCATAGGTAGAAGAAATGGTGGAGATTTACCACGATAAGGAGTTCAGATCCAAGGTTTGGAGATTCCCTTCACACAACTTCACACTCTCTATCGTCTGGTCTCCTTTCCTTGTCAAGTCCGAAACACTTGACGGCAGCTCTGAGATCCAGCTTTACCTCGACCGTCTCGACCACAAATGGACTCACCAATACTCCAACTTCGACTACGTTGTCATCTCCGGAGGCAAATGGTTTCTCAAAGAAACGATATTCCACGAGAACAACACAGTCACAGGCTGCCATTACTGCCATGGTAAATACAATCTAACCGACTTCGGGTACGATTACTCCTACCGCAAAACCCTGAAGCTACTTCGGAGCTTTGTCCAAAGCTCAACTCACAAACCTCTGGTTCTGTTCCGGACCACAACACCTGACCATTTCGAATACGGAGAGTGGAACACTGGTGGGTATTGCAACAGGACGATGCCCTTTAAAGAAGACGAGGCAAAGTTGAAAACTGTTGATGATGTGATGCGTGAGGTTGAGCTTGATGTGTTTCAGAATTTTCGAGAAGGTTCGATCAAATTTAGACTGTTGGACACGACAGGGATGTCTCTTCTCCGACCAGATGGGCATCCGGGACCGTACAGGCATCCGCATCCTTTTGCTGGAGTGAAACACAGAAGCAGTGTTCAGAATGATTGTCTGCATTGGTGCTTACCCGGTCCAATTGATTCATGGAATGATGTTATGGTGGAGACCATACTTAACCGGTAACCGGTTTATATCCATTCCCACTTGCTCGTGTATATGGTACTTGTGTATTTTTCAATTTTCTAATGGTCTTGGAAGAATAATGGATGTGATATATAATGCAGCAATGTTTTATTTCTTTAACTGAAAACCTTAATAAAAAAGTGGAAACTAAAACGACTACGGCAAAGTCATCGTTCTCATTTATCTCCTTTGCACTTCTGAGTTTTTCTTCTCCGTAACAAGACCACACAATCAATCCAGTTTATTTTCTTTAGATTTTTATTTCTTTGTTAATTATTATATTCTTCTTCTCCTTTTACAGAAACATTAGATTTGTTTGTTATATATCAATCAATGATATTGATTGGATGGTTACCTACGTAGATGGTTGCTAATGCTTTTCACTAAAACTGATTTTCCTTGTGAATCTAAAGTCATCTTTCTATTTTAGTATTAAATAATTGCATAAAATCCTTTTTTTGTGTTTACTAGCAATGAACCGTGTGTTTCATTATCTAATTTTGTTTTCCAGCAGTATGAAGCCATCTGATGATGATACTGTGAATGACAAAGCACCTTTATGAATTTATGTGAACAAGATTGAAAAGATAGCAGAAAGGGGATCATAGAGGTTTGAATGCGCGTACGTTGGATCTTATACTAGAGTTGTGACTCATCTTATACAAAAAGGAGTTAAGGGAATCAAAGGATGTTTGAAAGTTACCCCACAGCAAAGAGATAACATGAAGAAATTGGTTAATGATTGCAAGTAGAGGATAAAACGTGCAGTTCCTACGCCAGTTCCATTGCCTTCAGCGTCAAGAAAGGCATCTGCGTTTTCTCTTGACTATGACATGAACTAAAAGTTTCCTGATACAAATGAGTCTGATTCAAAGAAGAGAAAAGGAATGGGTTCAGCTTTAGAAAAAGCATTTAACAATCAGGCTAGGGAACAGTGTGATGGCGAAATATTTAGAATGTTCTGTACAAGCGGGTTATCTTTTAACATTGCGAGAAATCCTCATTACCGCAATTCATATGTGCGTGCATCACAAATTCCATGATATATTCCTCCTCGTTATAATGCTTTGAGGACTACACTTCTTCAAAAAGAAAGAGAACCTTGAGGTGCACTTGCAGCCGTTGAAGGATTCATGGAAACATAAAGGAGTTAGCATATGTAGTGATGGTTGGTTAGATCCTCATCGAAGACATATCTTAAATTTGATTGATGCAAATGAGAATGGTCCAATGATGTTAAGAGCAATCAACACTCTAAGGTGAAACAAAAACTGGTGAGGTGATTGCAGAAATGATCATAGAATGCATTAAGGAGGTTGGATATGAGAATGTGGTTCAAGTACTCACCGACAATGCTTCAAATTGTATAAAAGGTGGTGCACTTATTTCAGCTAAGTTTCCTACTATCTTCTGGACACCATGTGTGGTTCATACTTTGAATCTTCATTGGTTCTTGCACCAGTTTATAATACAAGAACCAATGAAGATGTGTATAATGCTTGTTACTGGGTAAAGTTTATCAGTGAGGATGTTACTTGGATCTAAGAACTTCATTATGAACCATGGAATGAGGCTTGTCATGTTCATAGAGCATTGTGATCTTAAGCTCCTTACAATTACGTGGACTTTGTGACATGCCATCCTATGTGGACAGTCTTAGAGGGAGGGAAGCTTTCCTTTATATAATAGATAATTTGATTTAAGTGATATATATATATATATATATATATATATATATATATATATAATATGATTAACTACTAATGAGAGTTCATATTCGTATGATTTGTGATAATTTGTATCTTGCTTGAAAAAAAAAGTTAAACCATTGATCATAAAATTTTTTAGTGTGGGATTTTTAATATTTTTGGTAATTTATGGTCGCTTTACAAAATTCAAAATATAACATACAAGAAAAAAATTAAATTTTTATTATAGATTTAATGTGATTGATCAATTTATGTTAATAATGTAAAATTAAACAAAAAAGAGAGAGAACACAAAAATATGTATTATTCATAATCATTAATATCATTTATGTGTTTATCATATTAGGTAATTCCATAGATTTTATTTAAGGAAAGAAAAATATTTTTTTGTACACTACTAATCATTTTAATAGTTGACTAACTTATTTTTCTAAGGATTTTAAGAATCTTTCTGGTGATGACACGTGGCTACGAAAATATCCCTTGATACAATCCGAGACTCAGGGAGTTTCTACGGCTCCGCGGTTTGATCCACCACCTCCTCCTCCTCCACCGGTCATCGGGGTTCATCCCGATTTGGAGGTGCCTCAAAACGCTTCATTTGCGGTGTACACGGTGGAGGATATTATGGCCCTTCCAAGTAGAGAAGGGTTGCCTGAGTTAGATCTTATCCGACGGGACGGCCACAACATATTATGGTATATTTTAATTTTTAAAAAGTGTTTTTAATTTATTTCTTAATTAACCAAAATTTATAAATTAATCTAATTAATGTTTTTATTTTGTTTCTTTCCAGGTTTGGTCTTGACAGATGTGTCGCTCAGAACGTCACGGATTGTATTAAGGATACTAGTATTAATAATAGTTTTATATTTAGTTTAATAAAAAGTATATTATATGTTTATATGTACCAATATTTTTCTATAGTAAATTTGAAAAACATTCCCATAATAACACGTAGTTACCAAAACACATCGTAGTGGCTTCTTAATTAATATATAAAGAGATTTTACTTTTATTGAGCCTCGAGTAATTGGGCCTTTAGTGGTCTAAGAAATATAGACCATGGCCTTTTGTGTATAAGGCTAATGGCTGTTCGAAAACACCCTGCCGTTCTACGACATCAAGCTACACTGTCTCGCCGTTCGTAGGTAGCTGTGTTTGGGATCCTTCGTCGCAACTAAAATATGGCTAACACGAAGACGAACATTCGGTTATTTCAGTATCTTTTGGCAGATATCAGAACAAATAATACATAATTTAATATTATTTGGTCTCTAGTAGTATATATTATAGATTTATTAGGCTCCCATTGGTAGCGATAACAACTGGATTGTTGATAATCTCAAAACAAGAGTAGGTTTGTTCAAATGAGCTTTATTGATAGAATATAAAGATGAAAATGAAATAGCTTATTAAAGCTTTATTATGCAATGGAAGTAAAAGAGAAGATGAACGTTGGATTGTCACCAAGAACACAAAATTAAAATGACTTTCATAAAGATGGAGAAGGGAGAGTTGCTTAACGGCAACTCCCAAAGTTGATTACATTAATGCATAAAACAACACATTTATATAAATCTAAAACTTGCTTGAAACCCTAGATACAAAGCTAATGGGCTTGAATTTAGTCTTGGGCTTGAGTCCTTTAATATGGATGATTTAATAAAAGAAATATCACAATACTCGTCAGATAAATATATCCCAAAGATACTTCTATTAAATTTATGAATACAAATACACATATCAGCTTAAATTTTTAATGATACAACAGCTTGGTAGACTAGGTTTTTTTGAGTTTGACATTCAGACACAAGTTACATGAAATGGTAAACGGATATCCAGAACCAAAACATTGATTTAGAATAACATATTTTCATATTAGAAAACAAACGTCACGGAACAAAATTCAGTTTACTAATCAACCAAGAATTCTTCATAAAAGAGAGCAATCAAACCTGCCAAAATGTTTTTGAATAAATGAATGAATATTTGTTGGAAGCATCTAATTGTAGTTTGGCCAAATGCGTTTTGATCATATATTAGGGAATTTTGTTCCGTGACATTTGTTTTCTAATATGATTTTGTATTATGAAAATATGTATAGACATACTATCAAATGGAGTAGGCAAATGGGTAGACGCAAGAGTTGATCAAAATGTATTCATAAAGAGATGTTTAACGTCATATCAAAATATATTAGTTAACAATATAATCCTGTGTTAATGAAGGGGTTATATGAATCTAACCCAAAACCCTCCTACTAATAAGAAATGATGCATTTATGTACCCTAAAATTCTAACTTGTATCAACATTTTTTGGAGAAAACTGAAGGGGAAATTGTCAAATTCCAAAATTTCAACCATTTGTCACTCTTCTTTTTTGTGATTATTATAATTCTGCCTGGCAAATAGCAATGATTTTCAGTATAACTTTTTTTTTTTCAGTATAACTTGTTGATGCACACGTCGAATTGAAAAATAGATAAATAAATAATTAAATAAGATATCATCGTCCACACAAAAATTATTTAATAGCCTTTTTGGTTAATTATGATTTGGCGGGACAAATTCAATTTAGTAAATCATTACAATAATTGTGGGCTTTGAGATAGTTCCCACTTTCACCTTTTCACGCAAACATATGCTAAAAGTCTTAATCTAACGATGAATGATTATATATACCTTTTTATCCTCGCCATGATGTCCCAATATATTCGAAGAAGTGAAATTTTAAATTTGCATTGAAAAAGTGTTTGGTAAAGAGGAGAAATTGCTATAACTAAAACTAAAATAATAACGAAACGAATTAAATTATATCCTCGTGGGAATAAAAGAAGATGTAGAAAATCATTGCAGAAGCATTACGTTTGCATGGCATCACGTCTCATACGTGCGCCCAAGACATTTCGCACGCTCACATATTTTTGACCCACAAATCACAAAAGGCTGGTCATCACTGATTTTTTCAACATTTTCACAACCCCTCTCAATAATTGAACAGATAATTTTATACCATTAAGAGTTTCAGTCCCCTTTTGTTTTTTTTTAAATACAGTCCACTTTTACATAAAATTATTCCCATAACCAAATAGTATTATATACATGAAGCATGAAAATACTATTTGTGAAATCTCTTTTCCCCAAAAAATAATCAAAATAATTTAGAAAAGTAGATCATGGCTAACAACAAACATTGTATAAACGCAAACAAAAAAAAAGCCAAAATATTACATATACCAGAACATCTTATCCGTAAAATCTCTACAAGATTCTTTAATTATTAAATCAATAAATTTAATCAGAATATGAAAATCTTACAATTTGTGAATTTGTTTCCTTAAAAATAATCAAATAATTTAGTATAGTAGATCATAGCCACAACAAACAACATTCTACAAACACTAAAAATAAATACCACAAACTCTATTTCCCCCTGTAAATTGTGAAAAAAAAAAATTCCCA